TTAGATAAACTTACAGAGTATAAAGGTTAATTGCCTCAATCTTTTAATGGCACCGCATTCTAGTAGAATACACAAGGTCATGGCTGTTAGTGTATGACAATGTATTTAAGAGCTCATTGAGAGGTTGGAGAGTTTATGTAAGCTATGACTAATTACATTTAAAACAAAGATAATGGCTGCTCAACCAGGAGGAATGGGTTCTGTTAAAGTTAATTACTGGATGCAATCACCTGGGTTGTCCAGGATAAAAATCTTTCAACCAATTTCCTTAACTTTTCCAGTTATAAAAAGAAGCAAATGACCAAACGGACACTGAAGTATAAGATATGAAGCGCATCAAAAGGTTTCCCTTATTGTAAAAAGAGCTATGTGCGCATCAGAGGAAATAAAATTCATGAAAAAACAGGAATGAAGGAAAGAAAGGGAAATCCAAAAAGAAAAGAAAATCAAAGAAATAATGAATGTCACATGAAAGGGTTGGAGGTAGGAAGTAAGCGTCAGGATTAGGCCTGAAACAATCGGATTAATCTGGATTAATTGATTACTGAAATAATTGTCAACTAATTCAGTAATCGATTAATTGTAAACTGGAATATAGAGACTCTAAAATATGCCTTTAGCTGACAGAGCAACCCACTAGAAGGAGTAATTATATCAAAATTGTAAAAAAAAAAAAAAAAAAAAAAATTATATATATATATATATATATTTTATATTTAAGTTTTTTTTAGGTTTCACCTGGTTTAAATTCGTAAAACATCTTCTTTAAGAAATATTGGACTATCCGATTATTAATCGGAAAAATAATCATCAGATTAATTGATCTGCAAAATAATCATTAGTTGCAGCCCTAGTCAGGATACACTGAGGGACGGTCAGAAAAAATTTGCTGAAAACAAAATCCTATTCCAAACATTTGCAGACCGATGGATATAAAAAAAATTTTAATAGATCTGCTCCTTTGTCCTACCATCAGATTTAGTCCAGTTTACAGCTCTCATTAGATATGTGCAGTAAAAAGGATAATCTTATCAAAAATGCTATCACCTTTGTGTAAGAGACAGATGCCTATAGTTATTTATGGCCACGGACAGTTTGAGTAACCAATAAATAGCTTAACTGAATCAACACCAGGTCCCTTCTTGTGCTGTTTTACAATCTTCTGCCATTTGCTTCCTTTCAATTTTCCACTGGCACCTGCTGCTTCTCTGCTTCACTACGACATCCAATCTTTAAAGATGGGACCGGCTCAACTCCAAAGCAAACCACTTGTTACAAATAATTAGAGAAGGACAAATAAACTTGTGATTCAACAAGCACAGTTTCTCATTATTTTAGTAAAACTCAGATTAGTTGAGAAGTGTTGGCTGACTCCTCTAATACCGCTGTTACTGCTACAGCATAAGAAGATTCAAAAGCAGGCATTTTTTCAGAATCGATACCTTAGGGTGTAAATACTATTGAAACATGGTATGGGTAAGAGAGCAGCTGCTCCAAAACAGATCTCTAAAGCCATGATGATTCCGATTTTTTAAATAAAGCTAATATGAGAATGGTTAGCATTACTTGGCATCGCTCACTGTGGATATTCCCTACAGAATAGACATCCTAAACCTTAAATTTCAGGTTTTGAAGAGATTCAAACATTTCCAAATCCAGAATCAAAAACAGAAAAGTTATTTAATATAAAAACAGTAAACAAGAGAATCTAAGACCAATCCATTGGACTTTGTTTCCAAGTTTCAAGCCTTTTCAATTTAAAATGTTAGAAATAGCATTGAGTTTGAGGCGTTATAGAGTGGACCAAAGGTTCTGGCCTAACTCTATTAGCTCTATTAAAGTTGTAAGGAAACGGCTGTTCCAAACGTTGCAGTTCTGAATTCTCCCAAGTGGTGCACGACTTTACACGAGTGAATAAAGTAAAATGATTGGTCGTTTATCAAGAAGGCGGGATTGCTGTAGCGGAAGGTTCACAAGCAGGTTTAATTGTGGCTGGTGTCTCGGAAGCATCGTTGCTAACCAGTTAGCAACTTAGTGCTACTACCGGTAGGTTCCCAGGGGGAAATTACATTGGGACCAAGTAGCACTAAAGTGGTGACTTAGTAACGACACTGTCAAGGAACGCTATGGACAGCAGAAACAGGCAAGAGGAGGAGAATTTTGTGTCGGAGTTCGTGGATGAGTCTCCTCTGTCACTTTTCAATGGAGCGCTCACAGAGCTCAGAGTATTAAGTTAAAAGTTCGCTTTTAAGATCATTTGAGGTGAGAACATTATACTATAAAGCATCATTTTATGGCCCATTTACCGATTTTATGGGTATATTCAGAATATGAGAGGACAGTGGCATCCAGCGGAGCTCCAAGGGTAATGGCAGCCAGGTCTAATCCTAGCCCGTCTGCAGCAGTCCTCTCTCGGCATAGCCTTGTGTGAAGGACTGCTGGCTATGATGGCAATTTTCTTGTTTTATTTGGCAGAATGTTCATTCGATTTGTGTTCATCTATGTATTATCCCCCCACTGTTATTATCTAGAGACAATAAATAAGAGGAGTTTAAAAGTAGCTCCAGACTAGCCAAACGTGTGGTGACATCACAAGTACTCTTCTGTTCTAGTTGACCCATATTTATGCTGCATGCTCCCATTCTCCCCAAGTCCACAGTTTTCGTTGTTCTTAAGAACATACTTGGTGAGGACACGACTCCATACTTGGATTCTTGTGAATTGAGAAACGGCCAACAATTTGTTCTCCAAATATACACCAGTAATGTTCAATCGCTGCGTATATTAGCAGCGACACATGGATCAAGATGCTATGACCCAAAAAAATTTGATTGACAGATGACCATTGATATATGATTGGCCGAATTTAGGTGTTCAGGCTGACATTTAACTATATGGACTGCATAAGATAATGAAAAAACAAAACCAAAAAAAAAACACAAACAAAAGGATTTATTTTTTTTTAATATAAAATATTTCTACATTTTGGAGCAATAGCATCTCATAAAGAGTACATTTATATACATGTTTAAGCCAGATTAATTTGACATTTATATATGATTTTCCTACAACTTTAATGTATCTGCCTAATGTGTGGCTCCCCGGCACTCTGACCCACAGACATGTCTACATACGCCTCAACATGTCCAGACATGTCCAGGCTGTTACTTTAAGCCTTCTTCCCCCAGTAACAGCTCCCACACAGAAGAGTGTTGTTGTCTGGGTAACCTGCTAGTGGTTTCCATAATGCAATCATTGATCAGAAAACGACTGCCATTCCCCCCCCAATTCTAGCCATCAGCTATTTTTATGCATGTTTATATTTAATTAGTTAATTCAAATTGCTGGTATGATTCAAAAAGCATGAATTCTAATAATTGGTGGACAAAAACGAAACTTTTTTTGCTAGGAGTGGTTTCCCTTCTTCCTAATAATTCTTCTCACAATCCATTTTGTTTTAAATTACGTTTATTTTTTTTTTATTTTTTGTTGTGGCCGACAGGTGATGAAAAGTTGTTATATTTGTTTAATGGTGATAATTAGAGATGATCAAGTATTCCAATTTAAGCTCATTAATGAATGATGTACAATTCCTCCTGATCAAGTAGTATATATACACAAGGGGCACTTCCAGATGTTTGATTGACCTGAAATTTTGCATGTGAAATTATTTCAATCTGTATAGATTAAACAGCAAATTACAGCTCTGAACTATTTGTGGTTTCTGACTCACAGGTGTTTGAACTGAGTAAAGTCTGAAATGGAACCTGTTGAGTATTTGAAAGGACTCACACCATGGAAGACTTTTGATTAAATTAAAGTAACTTATGGTGATAATGCCCATTATATGACCTTGCAAAATGTTTTAGAAGGTTATATAATGGGACATTATCACTACAAGTTACTTTCATTTGATCAAAAGTCTTCCGTTCTGTGCGTCCTTACAAAAAATGCAAAAACACAGACTTGACTCAGTTTTAACACCTGTAAATCAGAAACCACAATTAGTTTAGAGCTATAAACGTTATTTAATCTATAGAGATTTAAATAATTTGACATGCCAAATTTCCTCTGGAAGTGGGTCGGGGGCATAACTTATTGAACAACAACTGTTCCAGTATAGACTATGGTATTCGGTGGTATAATTATATAGTATTTACTTGGCCTCTCTCCAATATGGCGCAAGAACAATCACTCTTCAATTAGACTTTCTTATTTATGATTGGCCTCTTTAAAACCAAACATAACAATAGCAGATTAATAACCTTAAGAATATAAGTTAGTTAGTGGGGGTGAACATGTAGAAAATAGACTAGGCTGGACACTAACGGCTGAAACCCGATTAGTGGCGAACGTTGAACCAGAACCAGAACATTCCATCACAGGCAGATGAGGACAGCCACACAGGAAACATCTACACCGGAGACGAAGCTCTCCAGAAACAACAGAAATCGAAACTAGTAGCTAAATTTGGGAGAACAGCAGCTCATGTTTAACACGACCCTGATCAGAGCATATAAACAGCTATATCTCAGAATAGACAGGTGATTCTGCCCCCCACCATCTCCCTTTAGTTAAGACACAGCTGCTTATCAATGTACACAATTCCAAATACCGAGAATAACACTGGCTATGAAGCTAAAACCCTGAGTGGTTCTATTTATTATTTAATAATGCGACATTTTTTTATTTAACCTTTCTTCTAGTTATCTAGCCTAAGCAGCACAGGAGCCACAGATGTGACAGAATTGCCTCTACTGCTAGCCGATAGCGGTTAGCTGCCGTTAAAAGACAAAACAATTGTTTGAAACTCGTGCGTCCCTTAGTTTCATAATATAAATTGAAATATAGTTAAAAGCGGTCAAATGTGATAAACATGCGAGAACATTCCGTGCTTTAAGAAAGGGGGAAGAAAGAGTTAGCATAGCCGGTTAGCATTAGCGTCTGAGATGCTGAGAAGCAGAAGGTATGTTAGCAGGGAAGCTAATCAGGTTCCTTACCAGGTCAAAACAGACAGCACCGCCGCACAAGATGCATCAATTTCTGCGTTGCTTTATGGGGCTGACGTCTGAACAGACGGCGACTTCGACGGATTCAAAGCAGACGACGAAGAAAGATCGTCGAGAACATTGCAGAGATATTCGAAATTAATATGTTTCCTGCTTTTTCTTCTTTCTTTTTTTTCTGCTCAGACTAGCTCGGATGCCCGTTTGCGATTGCGAGTGGTTGCTTAGAGAGACTGGCTCACACACCCTCCAGGAACGAACCTGCCAAATACTGACCCCGCCTCTCAGAGCGAGCACAGCAGGAAGCGGCTGCCAAAAAATGACCCCGCCTCCGTAGACAGCCACAGATGGAGATCATGTTTAATATCTTCACTAATTTAGAATTATTTCGTTACTGTTCAAGCCATATGATGGGGAAACTTCTGTGAAAACGGGTAGAGAAACAGCCGCCAGAGTCTTTTCTAATAATCCCACATTTCAAACATTTCAAAATAACAGCGTTTAGACTGGTTGAAAACTGAGGACCAAAAAAATTGGCCCTCTAATTATAGCATAAATTAAATAAAATATAAATACAATAGCCCTGAAATTGAAATTCCCGCTCTCATAGCTACAATGCATATAAAACAACATCAAGTCTTCATTAACACATCTGACTATCTTACATAATCCAGCAATTGCACAGATACTACATATATATATATATATATAAAAAAAAAATATATATATATATATATATTTATATATATATATGTATATATAGCTATATATATATAGCTTATCAGCAAGGTAATTTGCATTTTGAACCATGTGAGGTTTTACATCCATAAAGTTTAATCAGATAGGCCTACAAAAAAAAAAATTAATATATAAATAAAAAATACATCAGCTATTTTCTCATATTAGAATTATTTGTTCCTGCTTATGAACTTTCTCAATACAAGTACTATCAGGCCCCAAAATTATATTCCACTTTTGGCTTACCATGTTGACTAGATAGATAGATAGATAGATAGATAGATAGATAGATAGATAGATAGATAGATAGATAGAT